TTCAGGATGTCCAGACAGATGACCCCCTGACTGTTGATGTTGCAGTGATAGATCCTCGTCCGGAAGGTCACCTGCACACACAAAAAACCCTCCAGTTAGAGAAAGGCTAGTCTGGAAGCCCCCAACATTCAGAAGAGAGGCTAAAAAGAGTGCGTTTACGGGGGGAAATGACACTTTACACAGTAATGTATAAACAGAAATTTTTTAAAAAGAGAAAATTAGATCAGTTTCGTCGCATTGGATTGAAACTGCAGACAGTAGCTGGTTAACATTTTAAATTAAAGTCCAACACACTGTTTTAGGGTCCATTAGTAGGTTCTGCTGGGTTCAGGTAGCCCAGGACCTTTTCAGGAGCCATTAACCACTCGGAGGGCCTTTATCAACCCAAACAACAAAAACTGTTTACAAACCCCCCAAAGTACGATTTTTTTTTTCCAGTTACACGACTGAATCTTTAAAAACTACTTCACTATTTAATACTTTAACTCTTTAAAGACCAGTATGCTTATAAAGCTTCACTGTTTGTTTTTTGTTTAAATGGGAAAATTTGTCCTTTTTTTCTGGACATCCACTATCAAGAGAGCCCAGTCTGAGGCCTCCAGAGGTCAGTTTGAGCTTTTATCCTGGGCTTAGAGTCCGCTGACTCCCACCGGCCCTAACCGTCCAGCGGTGGGGGCGGGGCGCCCTCTAGTGGCCCAAAGCTGGTACAGCTATGGCAAAGCCTCTTTTTCTTCGAGGTAATTCGCTTTTGTTAATCAGTTACGGGTCAGCCCTGAAAGCAGGTGAGTTATTTGACTGTAAAAACAAATGTGGGACGCCTCTGCTGGGATTCGGAGGTTTAATCAGCGGCGTGGACACATTTATTAAAGACAGGCGGCCTTTCACTGCCAAAATTAAAGCGCTTCCCGGCTGCTTCTGTGTCCACACCTCCTGCTTTCCCCTCAGTAAAGACCACAATAACAGACCTGATGAGGTTTGTGTGATTTGTCCCTCAAGAGATGAGCTTAGTTTTTATGACGGGGAGCACGGGCGGAAATAAGCAAGCCTTTATTTTTACAACTAAAGACAGAGAAAATGTCTGTGGGCCCCAAAAGCAAACAGATGGGCGCCCGCTAAGCTGCTCCGATGTAAAGCTGTTTAGGATCAGGTTATTGAGCCGCGGGTGAAAACGAGACGGGTCTCGGTCACCTCCAGCTTTGGACACAAACACCTCATCGGAACCTGTGCCTCATCGGGGAATCAGTGGAGCTAGCCAGACAGGCTGAGTCAGGCGGGTTAAACGGAGTTCAGTGGACCGGCTCAGCGCGGTCAGCAGGCTTATGGGCGGTACGGCTCTCTACTGACCTTCGGGGGTTTGAAGGGGTAGTCTGGTGTGAAGGCGATGTCCAGGAAGAAGACCCCTCCCTCGTAGACGGAGCCCGGCGGTCCCAGGATGGTGGACCTCCACTCATAGATGTTGTCTCCTTTTGGGCCAGCACTGCAGCGACAGAGCAATCCCCTCAGAAACCCGGCAACTCCCAAAGCTAAGCGGGCCCCGTACGGGTCCTGGAGTAATTCCCAAAGCTAAGAGGGACCCGTGTGGGTCCTGGAGCAATTCCCAAAGCTAAGCGGGCCCCGAACGGGTCCTGGAGCAATTCCCAAAGCTAAGCGGGCCCCGTACGGGTCCTGGAGTAATTCCC